TTTAGCACTCGTGTAAATTGCAGTGCCATTTTGGGGATGTGAAAGGACAAAAGGCAGGTTTGGGGAACAGCTGGTACTTTGAGTTTTTGCCAGTAGCTCAAATATTTGAGAAACCCAGCTTGTCTCTTGTAATAGCTGTGCTCTGCTGTTGTTTGGAAAGATTGCACTTGGTGTTTGTCATATTTCAAGTTTGTTACTGTACATCTGCTCTTACATGATTTTTGAAGAATCTGACTTGCCAAGGCGGTGTCAGACTTCTTGTATGCAGTCTAGCAGCTGCCCAGGGGAAGGCGAGCTGACCTGGAGTGGTACTTCTGTGGCTGCGGGGGAAGCATGCAAAGAAAAGCAAAAATGCTTTAAGTTTTTCTGTACCACACTTGCCTCTACAGCAATGACTGCTGGGATAAGTGCCTTCTAATTTTAAGACAAAAACTGAGTTGTTATGAAGTTGTTATGCAAGTTTTATGGGAGGAGGAGAGAGAAAGAAGAGAAAGGGAGGTGAGAATACTGAGGAAGTGTGCAAAATCTGAATGTTAATGGGTTGATCTAAGCTAATTCAAGCTTTTGATGTGCTGTGCTTTCAGAATGTGTGTGGAAATCGAGTTGCTTCTGCCTGGAGGGTTTGGAGAGCAGTGTCCGTTTGTACTGCAGTCAGAGTTCAGTCCAGCGAGATGTCGAATCTGATCCATGTCCAGTGAGGCACACATGAATTTAGTGAGAAGTGAAGCAACATCTCACCCTCTTGGTTTTTCTTCTCTTCCCTTTTGATTCCTCTGATTTTCCTGGTCGGACACTAATGTCTCATACATTTCCACTTGAGCCAGTTGTATATTTGCAATATAGCATCTTGCTAGGTTCTTTTCTCTTGTGTTAGATGCAGCTGGCGGTTTAAAGGCAGCTTCAGGCATAGGTGGCCTCACAGTGGAGATGAGCCCCTTTATCCAAATTATAAGTCTTTGGTTTCATTATGCACTTAGCTGGGGTAAAATGAGTAAAAAAATTACAATTATAGGATTGGGACCAATCTACTGCACTGACATAATTTTTAAAAATAGTAATTTATATGCATTAGATTTTTCATCCATTTGTGGATGGAAGGTGTTCTGTTTTGGGCTGGGGTAGAGTTATTTCCTTTTCACAGGGGCTGGTAGGGAGCTGTGTTTTGGATTTGTGCTCAACTCAGGGTTGATAAATTAGAGATGTTATTGCTGAGCAGGGCTTACACAGAGCCATGGCCTTGTCAAGGAGAGTACTGGGGATGCTTGTGCGATTTGGGAGGAGGCACAGCTGGGACAGGCAACCCACAATGATCAGGGGAATATTCCAGACCATGTGACATCATGCTCAGTGTATAAAATGAGGAGAAGAAGAAGGAAGAAGTATGGGGGGTGATGTTTGGAGCGATGGTGCAATACTTCGACTTCCCAAGCCACCGTTATGTGTGATGGAGCCCTGCTCTTCTGGAGATGGCTGAACACCTGCCTGCCCGTGGGGATCAGTGAATTAATTCCTCGGTTTGCTTTTCTTGTGTGCGCAGCTTTTGCTTTCCCTATTAAACTGTCTTTATCTCAAGCCATGAGTTTTCTATCTTTTTCTCTTTTGATTTTCTCCCTGATCCAGATGGTGGGGGACAGAGAGTGCAACTGTGTGGGGCTTGGCTGTTGGCTGGGGTTAAACCACAGCGGAAGGGAAGGGAGGTTATTAAACCTCTGTATTGCAAAATTGAATATGATTTCTAAATGCCAGTACATTTAATATGGTGACATCACAGTGAATATCTTGTCTAGAGAGAAGCTGGGACTGAGCGTGACTCAAAACAGGTGGGAGATGAATGTGGAAGGCAGTGGAATTGCCATTGCAAATTCTCGTTTTCTGTTCCTGGTAACACACTCCCATTAGTGTGGTTGTGTCTTGTGAAGACCCTGTAATTCAGAAGCCTGTTCTGTCTTGATTTCTTGTCTAACTTCTTGCTACATAGATTTTGAAATTAATTTAGCCTCACTTTTCATGCGTTTTCTTTAAAAAGGATTAAGTTCATCTGAGTTGAGTGTGATAAAAAAAAAGGTGGTCATGCTTTAGTAGTAAGGACACAAGCTTTTTACTTAGTAATTGGTTAATATCTGAATTGGTCTGTGAGTGTTTAATTCAGTTAGGTAAAGGTTTTAAGCTAGAAGAAACTTACTGCAATTGCAGAGGTCTTTTTATTCTTTTCCTCTGATCAGGAGCAGGTAGTGGATTGCTTAATTTGTTGCATATATTTACTCATTGGTGTTCAGTTTATCTTTTGGAATTAAACTTCAAACTGAAATGAGGTTGCTACATAATAATTTAAATCATGCATTCAAATATGAAAGTTGTTTATTTTCCCCTACCCTTAGCCCTGGTGTGTGCTTTAGCCTGCTCCTTAGAGAAACGGGATTTCTCGTGTTGGTCTGTCGCTCCCCTGGTAGCTCTTGAACACACTGGACCATTTATTTGGGAAGTGACAAGAAAACAAAAAGCTCAAACTGCAGTTGTATATTTTCTTCAAATTAGCTTTTACAGGCAAGAGAGAACATTATATGGAGAAGGGACTTAAATAAGAGCTCCTGGTGGAAGGCATTGTGATTGTACTCAGTGTGGTAGGTGTTTCAAGAGGTAGCAGACAATTAGCTGGGTGGTGCGCAGCCAGCTTCCAACTGGGCCTAGTGTGTTGTGTGGGCTAGTGAGGACGCTGGGTGAACTGCAGAAGGTAAGGGCAGGGGTCAGCTCTGAGAATGCTAGACAGAAGGCCATGGTTAAAACAGGCATTATTTTGGTGGCCTTATCATAAAAAAAATTAATTTAGTACTCATTTGTGCTCCTTTTAATTTATTTCTTCCAAATTATGTTTATATGAAATGCATTTTCACTGTAACGTTTACATTACAGTGAAAGAATTCCTCATAATGACTTCTCTTCTGGAGCTCCAGTGCAGTAGCCTGTTTTGCAGAGTGTTGGTGCTAGATGTTGCTCTTCAGTAATAGTCAACTTCCAGTTTTGACTTACTTTTGATCAAGTTCAGAAAAGTGTCTGCAATGGATATGAAGTAATATTTTGAAACGTATGTGTTTGTAGAGGAATGCAAAAACATAGAACACAAACAGGAAGGTTTATCAAATACAGAAATTGGTTACCTCTGATGTGTTGTGTAAAATTTAGCAAACTCAGCTAACCTTAAATTCTGACATATTCAAATTGTCTCATATTAAGAAAGACATGCCATATAATTCAAGACTACTTCTTAGAAGTCATGAGCTTATTCCTTCCTGACCTGTTATGAAATAGTCTCATGGTTAAATAGTTTGCTTTTTGTTCATTCAGGTTGTTAAGCTTTTAGAGATGTTCTTGAGAATAAAATATTTTAAACCTTCAGGTGGAAGTCATTACAAAAGTTACTGTGCAACATTTGAAAGGCAAAAGGATTTTTTAATTTACTAATGTGATTTTAATTAGAGAAATTGAAAGTCTGCTTTAACTGCTTTAGTACAGTAAAAAAGAAATTTTCAGCTAAGTCTTTCCCAAATGAACTATGTCCTTGTTAATAATGTAACTTCTTGTTCCAGAAAATTTCCATGCCACATGGTTTTAAACAGAATATTATTCATGAGTAGTACATGGACACTGAATTGTTTTTGTTAAAAATTTAATCAAGTTGACTATTGTGTTAATGTTGTCTTAAAGAAAAGTGCTTTAGATGTTTTTGGTTTATATTGGTTCCCTTTTGAGAGAATTCTATCTCACTTGGGCATCCTTGCTCTCAAAGCTGCTCTCTGCAGGACAGGGTTTTCTGTGCCATTGTGCCCTTTTGTGATGCTTTGAGATCTCTTGTTGTATTTGTTTTCCCCATCTGTCGTGGTTTAGGAATGGTACTCCACAATTCTCCTCCCCGAGACTTTCCAAACCATGCTGTCACTTGCTCGCTCCCCTTCTCCCCCTCTTCTGCCCCCCACCCCTCTGGGTGGCCAGAGAGAACTGGGTGCACAAAAGGCAAAGATCACAGCTTGAGATAAGAAAACAAACAGCAGCAGCAACAATATTAATAAGAAAAATACCTAAAGAGAGAAGGATTCATATGCAAAAATGCTCATTGCAGAGCCTGACTTGTCTGAAGACAGGCTGTTCCTGACCGTAGAGGAATGCACTGCTTCTTGGAAATGAGAGAGGAATCCCTTTTCCCTGCCCCTGGTAATGATGTGAGATGGTATCAAATAACACAATGTCTTGGGCCCTCCCCTTGGTCTGGGCTGGAACCAAGACACTATCCTCATTTATTTCATTTTTCCAAGAAAACCACTTCTGACACCATTAGTTTTCTCAGATAAATGTCTTCCTGCATCTGGCATGTTCCCAAAAGCTGTTCAGTGCACGCCCATACCCCATTCAGAATGCTATACACCTGTGGAAAACCATCTTCCGCATGCAGCCTAATTCTGAGAGGCACTTGCCCTTACACATCAGATAAATTTATCATTTTTACTGAAAACTGTCAGAGCTGGAGTAGGTCAGTGTCTGACATCATCAGGGGCTGTAGTGCTTGGTCAGTCTGTTGGTGGCCAGCTTGCCAAGGCAGGATGCCAGCCTGCTCCAGACAGCGACCTTTCCTGCTGCTCCTGTGGGGACTGCCAGTTTTTTATAAATGCAAATGTGCACTGAAGACCAGTGATTCTGGAACTGCAGCACAGGTCTGTGCATACAGTAAATCTTACACCAAATCTAAGACAAAAAGCCTACATTACTTATATTGGCTGTGTTCTCTGCTGCTCTGCAGTGCTCTTGTCATATTCTGGCATGAATGCACAGCTCCAGTGCCCCAGTAGGAATTGTACAGTATCTTACACTGGGAAGGCTGAAGCAAGGCTTTAAAAGAAGAAAGGTGAAGTATTTTTTGGAGAAAAAAAAGCCTGAATATCTACTACACTGATTCAGAGCTCTTAATTTCATTTCTGTAAATGTCATACGTATTTGTTTGTAAATTCCAGATTGTGAGCCATGCCTTTGGTGAAAAGGAACATTGAACCACGGCATCTCTGCCGAGGAGCTCTGCCAGAGGGAATTACAAGTGAACTGGAATGTGTAACGAATAGCACCCTTGCTGCTATCATACGCCAGCTAAGCAGCTTAAGTAAGTATCTGTAACTTCCTGCAAGTATTTGATTCATGCTGAAGAACTGAAGAGATGAAAAGCTTTAAGATGGATTGTTTTAAATAGCAGAAGTATGGTATGGGATGTTACCACTTATGTATTGTAATAATAATTTAATTGCCTTTATGTTCTTCCCTATTTTGAAGTTTATTAAAAACCCAACCCACCCCCAAACTCCACTCCAAAAACAAATTAACAAAAAAACAAGCAGGAAAAAAACCCACCACCACCAAGAAAAGCCCCAACCAAAAAACTGGATCATAGAAAACCAGATATTTTTTTTAAGGTTAGAGAAATTAGTGCAAGAAACAAGACCAACACTTGAGTTCCAGCCTTTCAGTTCCACAGGATTGAGCCAGCAAACTCTTCTGCCTCTTAGCATCGAATGACACATTTGACTGAAATTTTAGTTTTTTGTACTGTGGTAGTATTTCTGAAGCCTTCTCTTTTATATAGATATATGTGCTCAATTTATATGAATGAAATTAAGCAGACTGAAAGGATATTTGCTGAGCAAGCCTGCAGGCTACTGTTGAGGCAGGCTAACATCGTCTCTGTACAGAATAGTCTACACACCACACCTGTCAGGTGACACCACCACTAGCAATTCTAGAAGCATGACTGGAGTGTTAGCAAGATGAACAATATTTTTGATGAAAGGCATGAGATGTTTTTCAGACAGTCTTTAACAATCAGCAGCTGTTGTTTGTGCTGATAACGCTGGTCCTAGAAAAGAAATTACTGCTTCATCAGTTGCTTCACTTTGTAAATGGATGTGGTTTTAAAACTGAGAGTCTGTATGGAGCTCAGACTGTGGGGCCCACTGGTGTTCAGCTCATGATGATAGGGAAAGAGGACAAGAAACACAGCATTTCCTCTTTGCAGTAGTCAGTGATTTAGGGATTTTTCTGAGCTGGAGGTCCATCTGAATCATCCTATGTAATGAGCATTTGTAAAGCTATCATCTGTGGTATTGCTTCGATCTGTTGAAATAGAGATTACGCCTTTTTCTTGACCAATGACCTATGGCAGAACACCCCACAATGGAAGCTGACCTTTCTTCCTTTTGATACCTTCTCATTCTGGTGTGGTGGAAAATAATGAAAGGTGCTTTCATCTTGTGCATTTTCATAGTAATTTTTCATTTTATTAAGTCTTTTTTCCTGTTTTCCTGGTGATATCTTTTCCAGGTTGAAGCATCCTGATCTGTAAGTGATCTTTTTGAATAGGAACCATTTTGTATTTCTGATCACTGTTATTTCTGCTTTGGATATGTTAGGGTATATAAGTTATATATAAGTTAGGGTATATTGTGGGTTTTTTAAGGTGGAATGTTGAGGACTTAAGATCATATTCAAAACAGACTTCTGTTTTATCATTATTGCCCTAAGAATTTGTAGAATTTTGATTGTAGCTAAGCATTGAGTTATTATTTTCAGATAAGCTTGCAAGTGATCCTCTTTCTTAAACAGCAGCTGATGATTTAGTGTCTGATGTTATTTAATTTGTGTTTACATTGTCATTGAATTTCATTTACTGTTGTCTCAGACAGCTGCTTAGTAGTGACATCCTTAAGTTTCAGAAAAGTGAGAAGAATGGCTAATGTTCTAATTTACTGAAGGAGACGTGATAAGACCTCATTTTGGTATTGTGCAGTGACTGTCCAAGTGTGGATAATATACTTTTTACTTGTCTGACTTTCTAGGAATGTGTACAGCTTTCATTTATCCAGATTTAGTCTTGGGGCTGTTATACTCTGTATTTAGATCCTATTATGATTGTTGCTGAGGAACTGACTACTTATATTCATATCCTACAATTTTCCCTTAGTGGATTTCCAGGGTCATCTGAAGTCTCTGTAGACAGCCCCTAAAGTTCTGTTAGTATCAGGTTAAAGATGTATGCAAATAAATTATGTGTCCTTAGTCTTAACAGATGAATACTTGGTATTTAACAAGTGAAGTGTACCACCATTCTCATCCACAGTCCAAAATATGTCATGTTTGCAGAGGGTTTTTTCTGCAGACAGCATTTGCTTTGCCTGTCTTTTGAGCCAACTGGGTGCAAAGAAATGATCACAGAAAAATGCTGTGCTGGAGCTGAAGTAGTATGTCCTGCTGACAGCATCAGAGCTGGTTGGTGTCCCCACAGCTAGAGGCATAGAGTGAGCAAGTTCAGGTCTATCTTGCACTAAAAAACACTGTTTTTTTAGTGTTGCACCGTGAGTTCAGTGTGGTTTTTAAAAACCGGCAGGTCTGTTCTGCTGCATACAAACTTGGCCTGATTCTGCCTCTGCTCTTTTTGGGAGACATGGACAAGTTCCTATCCAAAGGAAATGTGCTCTCAGGAGAGCTTTTTCTGTATTGCGTTTTCAGATTTGGGTTTGTTTCCAGCCAGCTGGCTCGGAGCACAGGCAGAGTGAGTGGCATTCTGTATGTAACTGTGCACTTTTATGTAAGGCAGAATCTTCTCTAGGGGATTCACCTCCCCTTGGGAGGAGAGAATTTACTGGACGGGCAGGACAGGAAGCATTTTCAGCCCCTACCTCCATGTACCATGAAGGAAGTGTCATCTGTGGAGACTTGGAAGACTTTTTCTTTCATGCAGTGAGCAACATCCATCAACTTGCTTCCTGGTTTTTCATGCAGGCCTGAGCACACTGCACCCATCTGTGTCACTCTCCTCTGTAGTATTGCTGAACCAGACTGGGTTGGAAAGGTTGCTTTTTTGCCATTAAGTATCATGCTAGAGGTACTGTGAGAAAGGAGTTTGGAATCAAGACCTAGTCAGTAACAGCCTGGCATTTTTGCATCTTTAAAAAAAGAGGAGGGGTAAAGTATGATCCTGACGTTTTCAGTTAATCCAGTTACAAATGGGTGGGTGGAATCACTATCTTCTGTAGCTGGAGGGAACCTTAGAAGGAAAGAATGCATAATTTCTTTGATGGATTTTTAAATTAATGTATAGGTTGGCCACATGTTGGGCAGCACCTGTTCTTTCTAAATTATTGTCTTACAGTACCAAAATCAGTTCTTAAATTGAAAGATACAGGCTTTTTTCCTACTTGTTTCTGTTTTGTTAAAGATCTGATTTAAACAATGGCAACATAGAAAACACTTGAAGTATTACTGCATCATGTTAATCACACCAGCATGTCCAATACAGCTTTACTATGTCACTGTTTTCACAGACAGGAGATTGACAATCTGTCTTTCATGTGTTCTGGGCTGGCAAATGTTGAAAAAAAATCAAACAAAAAAAATATGCTCCCTATGCTCCCACTTTGCCTTCTGAAAGACAACTGACAAACATCCATCTCTTTGACTTCTCTAGGGGTGATGTGTTTAATCCTAGGATGTGGCAGTCCTCTCTCAGCAGGCTGATTTCAATATATTAACATAAACTAACATCTATTAAAATTGATTGAGCTCTGAATACTGGTGGCTGAAGAATGTAATAACTGCTTTATTTAGCTGAAGAATTGAAAGGCTTATTTTTTCCATAGCTTGGAGTAACATCTTCATTTGGAGCAGCTAAATCAAGGGGGGATTATAAGTGAATTTCAGCTAGCTGCTGGTAACACTTAGAGAGCACTTTTAGTGTGAAGGTAGTTGAACACTTGCACAGGTAGCCTAGAGGAGTTGTGGAGCTTCCATCCTTGCAAGTGTTCAAAACCTAGCTGGTCAGAGTCCTGGGGAATCTGCTCTGTCTCATTGTGCTTTCAGCAGGGAATTCAACCAGATGATTTTGAACTTGAGCTGTTCTGTGGTTGTGTGTGACTTGTTTTGGCAGGTGAGGAGATTAGGAGCAGGTAGATAGCCTACCTTTCTTATCCACCTTCCATACATATATGTGAAGCAGAGCTTGTGTACACTGTCATCTTAATATTGTGGGTTAGTTATTGGCTAATCTTACACATAGTAATGAAAACTATTACTGGTAAAGTCCTTCATTCAACAGCAATCACTTTTTTTTTTCTTGTGATTCACAAACAGTGTTTTGTGATAATGTTTTAGTCTAGTTGTTGCTTCTTCCCCCCATCTCCCGCTGGTGACCAAGAAAAGGCCATATTGTCCTGTTGACTTCCTAAGTGTGGCCACCTTTTTACATTGAATTATTATCTGCAGATGTCCAGAGGATGGAATCTTAACTGAAATTTTCATTGTATTTTTACTTTTCTTTCCGGAGTGTTAAGGTTGGTTATTGGACCCAACTTAAAATGTCAATAATGGCTGCTTTGGAAGTCCCTGTCTTTTAGGTGGTTTATGCATATTCCATATTCTTCCAACTGTTAGATAGTTTGACTTTGTTCCTGCCCTTCCATTTCTGCTCTTCAGACTCTTCTTGATACAGGTTGTAGCAAGATGAGTTTAATTCAGAAGCAGGGTTTTAAAATTTGTTTTTGTTTAAAAAGCATGGTTAAGTGCAGGAGGCAGGACTTTCCTTTTTGCAAGGATTTCTTGAGGGGGTTTGGCTGAAGAAATTGTAGAGGGAAACATCTTAAATGAAAGAACAGTGTCTGGGTAGGAGGGACCATCAGTTCAGTGAATGGGAGCAGTGAGTTTGAGTGGAATCTGAAATTTCTAGGAGAACTTCTCGGGCAGGCAAACTATGAAACTGGGGATCTGGAACCACTGATCTGGAGTGGATGAGAGTTGTGGACTGGGACATAAAGTCCAAGTGTGGATGAGTATGCCTAGTTCTATGGGAGGACTGGGAGAGGAATGGCCATGAGCAATGATCTATGCATCAGGGAGGGATTTGGTTTATTGTGTGGCACCTTCTGTCTACTGTAGCACTTGCAGGGAAGGGCATGAGGCTGCAAATCTATATTGGGCACTGGTGAGGCTACACTTTGAGTACTGTGTGCAGTTCTGGGCCCCTCAGTTCAGGAAGGACATTGAGGTGCTGGAGTGGATTCAGAGAAGGGCAACAAAGCTGGTTAAGAGTCTGGAGCACAAGTGTGAAGAGCAGCTGAGGGAGTTGGGAGTCTTGTGCCTGGAGAAAAAGAGGATTGAGGGGGCCTTATTGCACTCTACAAGTGTAATGTAAGCACTTGGAAGGAGGGTGTAGGCAGGTGGGGGTTGGCCTCTTCTCCCAGGCAGGAAGTGATGAGAGGACAGTCTTAAGCTGCTTCAGGAGAGGTTTAGGTTGGACATGAGGATGAATTTTTTTTGCTGAAATGTTAGACATTGGAATTGGCTGCTCAGGAGATTGTGGAGTCACCATCCCTTGGAGGTGTTTAAGGAAAGACTGGATGTTGCCCTTGGTGTCAAGGTCTAGTTGACGTGAAAGTGCTTGAACACAGCTTTGACTCAATGACCTCAGAGGTCTTTTCCAGCCTAATTACTTCAGTGATCTGGGGATCTGGACTGCACTATCCACTCTCACAGTGATTGAGAACATCCAGCAGGTGAAAGGGAGGCTGAAAAGGTCGTGCAGCAAATCCCATGTGTCCATGGCAAAATGTGGTTAGTGGCATCTCTCTCAAATGTCTCCAGGGACAGCAACATGTGCAGTTGGCATTTGTAGAGGTAAGTGGGCTGCCTTGCAGAATAATCCCTGTTTTTATGTTTTATACTGCTTTAATTTTGATGTTGCCCTGTGGCTATGCTTAAAATCACATCTTGGTTACTATGGATTGCAAGATTTTTATTTTAAAATGTACTTTTATGGACTGCAGTAACTTTAGGCCTTTTCATCACAGAGGCAGGTTTTGATGTTCAGTCGTCTGTTAGTTGGCACTAGTTCAGGTACAAAAGGATTAGAATTTTTAAGTATCCCTGTGTTTTTAAGAAGACTGCTAACCAGGATGTCCAGAAGAGTAGACTTCAGGTGGAATTTATGGTATAGACATTTTTGTACAAATCTGTTGCCCCAAATTTTGCTGAATGACAAACTGCGCTGCTCTGATCCTACAGCTACTGTTTTATTATAATTCATGATATTGAAGCCATTTGTCCTGTGTTTTGTAAGCCACTAGCAAAGGGATTTCCTTCTCTTTCTTACACAGGCAAACATGCTGAAGACATATTTGGTGAATTGTTTAATGAGGCCAACAGCTTCTACATCAGAGCAAATTCCCTCCAAGACAGAATTGATCGCCTTGCTGTCAAAGTTACCCAGCTGGATTCAACAGTGGAAGAAGGTAGGTAATTGCATGAAAGCATTGAGCCAGAAGTGATGTTGACAAGAGTACAGTATTTAATTGCACAATAACCTCTGTCTTTTCAAAGCAATACTGTAACGATATTTCATCTTGTTGTCTCAGTAAGGCAAGCTGGGAATAATCACTTTAGCCAAGCAAGTAAAAGTATTCTTGAGTCAAGAAGCCCCTGTAGTAATGGAGCTGTTAAGCTGCCTTTTTCATGAGGAAAAATTTGAGGTTGTGAGTGTAGTAAATCATAAATGAAAAATACAGACTTTACTGGAAGTAAGTCAGGATATTGGAAAAAGTTTGAGACACTGGGTGTCCCTATTAATTCCAGGGTAGGGTGGTCACAAACTACCTTAATATGTTAATCTGTTTTGTGATCATCAAAGATCTTATAATACTCTGTATCTAAACAAGGCACTGTGTTTGGATCAACGAGGTGAATTTTTTTCGGGGTTCTAGTCACTAGAAAGTGCATTTCCTTTAAAAATATTTCCCACTTACGAGCTTGGTCATTCACTTCATAAATACACAGTAAAAAAAAAAAAAGGATTTCAGTAACATCATTATATTGTCTGAAAGCACTTTTTTGGGTAGATGAAGCATTTCTCTGTCTAGCTTTAAAAGCTGTTAATGTGCATTCTGGCCATCATGCTACGTGTCTGAGCCAGCCAATGCCTATACTTTCCGTTTAGATGATTCCTGACATTTACTAAAATGTGAAAGCTTATTTTATCAGTATGGTAGTGTAATATTGACTCAGTAGTAGTTAATGCTACTTGTGATATGTTTAATATTTATATGGTTTATATATTTTACTTGCCATTCAGAGTTTTGTAGTTTATTTATTTATATTGCCAATTATTACTGCCAATATTAAATTTTACTGTTGATATTTAGTAGTGTAATGGTGCCTAGTGTAATATTTAGCCTTCCTTTTTTAGCTGGTTACTGTCTGGAAATTATTACGTGTCGTTGTTTTGTGGTTTTGGAACATATTAACTGTTTAGACTATCAGTTTCCCAGAGAAGCCGTGGATGCCTTATCTCCAAAGAAACCTGGTTAAGTGAAAGATGTCCTTGTCCATCGTAGGGGGATTGGAATGAGATAGTCTTTAAGGTCCTCTCCAAACCAAACCACTCTGATTTTTTGGTACAAGCACCTGCATTTTGCTATCTTATGAGTCAAGAGCTATATGTGAACATAAAATAAGCTCCTATGGGATCACTATTCAGCTTTTTTTTTGAGGCATATTGTATTAGTAATATGAGCAAACTAGATTCTATTAATATACTGTACTTTTGGAAATGCAGCTGTCATCTTGGTTTTGCTGCTGTTTCTTTCCCCCTCCCCCCTTTTTTTAATGCCTCATTAATGTCTCATTAGTGTTATGCAGTACCACCCATCTAGTTTGCCGAGTTTGGAGAATAATTAAAAGCAATCTTTTGGGAGGGGAAACTAATGTATGGACTGAGAATTTAATCAGTGTTTATTTTAAATTGACAGCAGTTGTTACTCTTGCATTGCTAATCATACGTCATATTAATAAGCTATATATACAGACTGCTGTCATCTTAGTGTCAGTAGTAAATTTTATTAGCTGTTTCACTCTAGACATTGAAGTCTTTATAATAATTCATTGTACTGTCAGAAATAGTATGTTTCTGGATAGCTTCGGCATTTAAGCAAAATGTCAGTTGCAAGGTTGTTCTAAAAAGCCCTTCAGATTTGATTGCATCAGTGATTTCTTATATTCTTAGCTATAACTAATACAGTGTATATAAAAATAATTTATATATAAAATGCTACAGTTGAAAAAAAAAACATTTTAAAATAATTGAGGTTAAGTTTTCAAAAATATATAAATAACTTCTTCTAAAAATCTCCAGCAAAATGATTTTTTTTATTCTTTTGAATGTCTTCCATCAAACAAGAGTGAAACAATTCAGGTATACACATCTGAAAAATCTGCCTGAAATACCTTGTACTTGCAGGCAGGTTTAAACAGAAAGTACTTTCAGAAATGATGTTTTGATACTTCAGATGATGTTAATGGGAGAATGACTATTAGACATTAAATATTCCATTTTTGATTTTTTTCTATTGTAAAAGTTACGGCAGAAACTAAGTAGCTCTTGGATTGAGAAGCAAAGCCTCAGCACAGATAATAAAAATAGCTGGGCAGAGAAGTCTGAGTGGGATTTGGTGCCCATCATGACAAACAATAACATGCAAAATTTCATCCCTTTTTCTTTTTTCAGGTTATCATTATACTACATTTTTGGCTATTACTCTTCATTTACCTTGTGAAATTTCTCAGTTTGTCCTTGAGAGTCAATAAATTAGATGAATGGCTAAGAAGTATTTTATGAAATGGCAACAGGAATAAAGAGACTAAGCAGGTGCATGTAGTTTGCACAAGTCCTACAGCTTCCACTCTTCTAAAAATCACTTGGTTCAAATCCAGAAGAGGTCAGTGTCATGTAGACAGCCCAGTGTAGACTTCAGCATCCTCTTCACTTGCAGTCTAAACTCTGTATTTCAGGGTGCTTAGGGTTGGAAGATAAGAGTTTACTGCCACTTTTAAATTGTGAGTAGTATTTAACTGGATCTTCTTTAACAATGCTTGCTGCATCTCATGAAAACTTGTATTAAGAGGGAAAAAAACTCTGATAAAAGTGACAGGAACAATTAAAACCAACTTAAATCTTTCATTTGAGAAGAAAGAATGAAAAGCCTGGTGTTGTTTCCCCAGAGCTGTGTATGTGAAAAGATAAAATGAAAGTAGGAGAGTGCATGTATTTCTCTCTGTAGAGACATGAGCAAAACGTAGGAGGAAGGAATATTCAATTATTTGAGGAGACTTAGGAGTTGAAAGAGGAAAAGAAGTGGAACTGTCACAGGAGGTTGTTGCAGCTGTAATTTAATTATACTTAGAATGGGGTGGAATGTGTATGGATACCATGTGTAATTATAAAACATACTGTGTCAGAGGAATACCAGACCTTGTGTTTCAGTCTTGAAGCCAATTGTTTTGCTGTTAGAACTCCAGGATAAACCTTATAAAAAGGGAAAATGGTTGGACATATGCATGTGACAGCATTCTTGCATCATCTTCCAAGATAGAGTCCGTGGTCCCATTATTTTACATGAGGTTCTGGATCAAGTGAGACTTAAATCTGTTTTATTACAGTAATTTTTACATGCATTTGTGCTTAAATATCAGGATTATCCACTAAGGAAAAACCTGTCTTTTTGTTAACTTACTGAAAATATTTGAAATAGTTAGTGAAAAATTGATGATGTATATCGACTTTCAGTAGTTTCAGACCTGTGGTAAATGTATTTCTGTTTCTAACAGTATCCTTACAGGACATCAACATGAAAAAAGCATTCAAGAGCTCAACAGTTCAAGACCAGCAGGTAGTTTCAAAGAACAGCATTCCGAACCCGGTGGCTGATATTTATAATCAAAGTGACAAACCACCACCTCTGAATATTCTTTCACCATATAGGTAAGGAAGTACTAATTGTTTACCTTCTTGTACTTTGCCCTTGATTTCTCAGTTGTATGCAGAGAATAATTATATCAGAAGGGAAAAGCTATATTGATTATTGAGATTTGATTTTTCAAGATTGATAAAACCCAGTCTGCAATAAATGATTTATTTATTTTTTAAGAATGGTATAGTACAGCATTTGCAGTGTATCTGATTTTTATTTTTTAACATAAAGAATTTTTAGTTGGAAGGTAAATGGGAAGGATTTATGACTAAAGTATGGTGGTTTTGCTGCTGCTGCAGACAATGGTGGTATTTGTTTATGGAGATCCAGTTAATAAGGGCTGTTATTGAACAGCTTGAGGCTTGGATGATCATAAAAGGTAAGTTTTTTGGATTTAAAACGTACTAATTAATGTATTTTTAGTTTTTCTTCTGTTGTTTTCCAGGGATGATAAGAAAGATGGATTGAAGTTCTATACTGATCCTTCCTATTTTTTTGATCTTTGGAAAGAAAAAATGTTACAAGATACTGAAGATAAGCGAAAAGAAAAGAGGAGACAAAAGGTAAAAGCAGAAATATAATAGCACATTTGTGCGTTACAATTTTATGTGCAGTTATCCAGGCATAAAAATTGCCAGGTCATACTTAGTTTGTGTGAGTGGAAAGATTGTTGCTCTTTGTGTGGCTGTGGATTTAGTGCATTCCATTTTTATAGCTTATCCTGTATTTTAAGAGGGCAAGTGGTTATCTTCCAAGATGTTTTCTTGAATCCTGTGCCAGTATCTGCTAATTGCTACCTAGAAAAATGGCCCTGTTGTGCTCTAGAAAAAGACATCGTAATGGGAGAGGAAAGGAATTGGAATTACAGCTTTTTCCATTCTAATTTCCCATTTTTTCCATTCTTATTTTAAAGGAAAAAATACAGATGCTTTCATAAGAATTTTTAAAATCACTTGAACATTTCTTTATTCCTTTAAAATAATTTCTAAAAAACTGTTATATGTGTAAGTTACTTTTAGACTTGGCAACACATCTTGCTTATTTCCATCCATGGTATATTTTTTTGTAGATTTTAATTGTCTTATTACAGTCTACAAACATAAATACGCTCAATTCCAGTCATGTAGGATTATAGTCGTGCATCACAGAAATGCCCCTTGATAAATTCTAGCTGAAGTGCTATTTGATTTGATTAAATGTATGCCAAGTCCAGCTAAGAAGAAAGCAGCATAGACTTGAGTTTGCATGGATAAAGTTCACTTTGTGATGGGTAGAAATCTGAGGTTTAGCTTTCCAGAAGATGGTTTTCAAGCATTTCATGATCTGTGTCCTTTAAAGAGCAGGATGGTTTGGGTGGGATGTCTCCCAGGCACACTTTATTCCACAGGTTGCTGAACCAAATGTCATTTTTCTTTTATTCTTGTCCTCATGGTAGCAGTAACCAGGAATGAATCCAGAGCATTTATTAACAATTTGATAGCTGAACTTAAATTTTCAATCTGTTAAATGAGAATTATTTACTCAATTTGTACTCTGCAGAAGCACAAAACTTGATAGTTGTTGAGAAACTGCAGGTGAAATAAATGTGTATTGTTTAGGAAAGTACAAGGTAGACATCCAAATGCCATCCTCCTCATCAGCTGACCAAATGCAGCTAGCCTCAATTTTTCAGGTGCTTGGTGAAATCTGAGAGTATCATATGTGTATCAGAGTATCAGAACCAGTGCATCAGTTTTCCAGTATTATTTTGGTAATTTGCCCTAAGTGCTGGAGCTGTTACAGCGGGAGTTTTGTGAAGAGTGTAATCTTTTTGCCTCAAATATTATGCTTTTTGTTTCTTTATACAGTTTAATTGAAAATATCTAACAGGCTTCCTTTGATTTGGCTCTTTCAGGTGAACTTTTTTCTGAAGAAAACTGAAATTTTAATTCTTTAAGTTTAAAATCTGTGTAGTCTATTTTTTTTTTACTTTCTATAGATCAGTATAGTTTCATATATATGAGAGATCAGTATAGTTTTGTCTTGGTTTGTATCAGTAGTTCTCTAAATTGACTGTATGAAATGACTGTAGGTAGGGCAGTTGTGATGAAACAAAGGAAAGTTCTTCTGATTTGCTGTTCATTGTTCTGCCTTTTTATCTGAGAATAATAAGCTATTCAAGCAAGTAAAAACTTTCAAATTTGGAAAGCTTGTATTTCAGAAATCATTCTTGTTGACTTGTGTTTCGATAGGATTTTATACATTTGTGGTCAGGAAAATACTTTAGACTTGTGCTTCCAGTTTTTTGAAAGTATTGCAAATACTTGCTGAAGCTACTTTTTGTTACTAGCTCTTAATTCTTTATTAAGATGCTTGAAATGTCATTTGCTAATTCTTGATGCAAATATCAAACTTACAATTAACTCAACCCTGTTTGAAGACTCTAATATGTTTTGTGTTTCCTGAAATAATTTCCTGCCAACGTGAATGATGTACCTGTTTTCTGTCTTAATCTACAACACCCACTTGTCTGCCACAGCTTCTATTACAGTCAATTGAAAAAAAGTAACTCCTCTTAATATTATTTTAATTGCTTGAGAAATATTTCCAGCTGTAGTTATCTAGAAAGGCTTCAGCTCCCCTACAGCTCTGTCATCTTTGCCCTGGGTAGTAAAGCTAGAGCTGTCAGCATTGTCAAAGGAATGAAACTGCTACTGGAACAGCTTAAAACCACTCTTAGAGGTATATGTAGCTTTGTCAGGTGCTAGTAGTAGGGCTGCCCCACTGTTTTGGAAAACATTTAATGTTCTAGAGAGATGTAGTGATGTAATATTTAATCAAAATATCACTACCAGTAGGGTTTAGTACTGCTTGAGTAGAAAGGATTCAAGTGTTTTTATTCATTAGCATACTTACAGATGCTGGTCTGGAACAACCTGTCCAGATGAAATCTGATCCAATTAAAATCAGCTAAGCTCTGTGTTTATTTTTTGTTGTTTATACATCCATATGTATTTGCCTTTTCATAAAAAACAAGTGATCTCTTTAAATAATAAGCAGTAACTGAAAGCAGTCATGTATACACTCATAATTGTACAGGATATCAAAATGATTGTCTTCCCAGTAGCATCATATATTGGTCAAAAGGTGGATATTTATTTTATTTAGAATTTTGCAAAAAAAGATGTAGTTGTGACCCCTAGATGACAAAATTGTTGTTCTGAAAGAAGACAAGACCAAGTGTTTCCAGTGAAAAGGGCTTTCTTCTGAAATATAACATGACTTGGGTAACAAAATCTTAATAAATTAATTAAAAAAAATCAAAAATTAAAAAAAAAACAAAACATTTGCAGCAAGTAATTGAAAAAGACAGATGAAAAGCTTTTAACAAGCATATATTCAACCATGGCAATTATCAAAACTTTATATATTTAAAATAAAGCGTGACTGAACCTGTGTCCTTTCTGCTCCAAATCCTGGATTGGCAGAATTTGATGTGAGTGACTATCGGACATCAAAAGGGTGTGATTCTAAAATGTTTGTGGAGGAAAAATATTTTGGGAGAACTGATTAAGAACCATTAAGATGATCATTGTTATTTAACATAAATTAGACCAAAAATCTGTTTACTGTAGAAATGAGCAAGAGTTGTCAAAACATTTGGGTGTTGAACTTCAAGAAGTCTTTTCTGTCACTCTAAATGTTAGCAGGATCAGCATGTTCCTCATGCAAATGTGCATAAATGAGCAAGAGAGCCAAAACAAGGGCAAGTAAGCCATTTGATAGTTTTCTGTTAGTTATGTAGTGCCAAACACATTATTTCAGAATTATTTACTCTGTGCTGTTTGACAATTGGACTAAAAAACCTGTATTCATCTGTGATGAACTTCTTGTTGAGCTGGCTTTCCAGCTGTTATCCCTTTCATTATACCTTTATATCTACATATAATATCCATATATTAGACCTTTGTGGGTCTAAATTCCCCACTAGAAGGCTTGCCTACCAGAATTTGACTATGCTCTTCTCTCAATGCAATTCATTGGCTGCATTCTCAGAATAGCAATTTAGTTCTTTCCTGAGGAACTATTTTTCTAGCAGCCAAAAGGCTAATATCAACCTACTAATAGATAAAACATGTATTCTAAGGTGTCTAGAGCGGATTGAAAAAAAACCCTGTGCTGTCATGAATACTGAGACAAGGAGCAGCTGACCCTTCTCAGTCTGAATGAGCAATCTTGTTCATTTTTTTGTGCTGAAGCACTAGTATGATTTTATACTTACACTGAATAGTCAGAAGTAGGTGAGTACAACATTTCCAAGGTGTGAAAGCATTGGGTCCCAGTATTAGGAGATTTTGCTATCAGTGAGGTAAAGATAAATGTGGTACACTGACATTGGTTGAGCCTGATGTTATATTGAAAGATACAAGCAGCCAAGTCTGTCAAGCTGTAATATACTGCTGGCCTGAATATTACTGACTCGCTGCAGAGAGAATTAGTGTGATTCATTTTTATATCAGATAATGGGAAACAATGATGAGGGGAAACTAGGAGGAATTTCAGTAGTTAATTAGATCTAAGAAGGGAGAGGAAGTTAAAACAAACAAAAGTAATTTCACATAGACTATGGGATAAGAAATTGTGTCCAATTTCTCCATACATCCCCAGGCCCTGTTGATTGTGACCATAATGAATAACCAGAATAACCCTGAGCTTATTTAACATTCTCAGAAGTTTGATTTTCAGGAGATGAAAATTACAAGTGCTTCAGGATAGTCTAAATAAAAGACATGATGTCGGAAGAACTTTGGCTTTCTGGCTTTTAAAATTGGTCACATTTCTGTATTAGGAAAAGCAGGAGATTGTCATCACAGTAGCACAAGCGTCCTACAGAACACAGGCAAATCAAAAGTCCTGCTACTAATGAGGTTCATAGTGTAAGGAGATATTCTTATTTTCAGTCCAGAGAAATTTTAAGAAGACTTGGCTTCATCTGTAAATCTGGTCTTATTTTCATGCACTCTAACTGCATTTTAACCAGCTTTCTTCCTTTCCTTTTTTCTCTCTCTTTGCATGCTTTATTTCTTTTGTTTGGACATTAGGAGCAAAAGCGTATAGATGGCACCACCCGTGAGGTGAAAAAGGTTAGAAAAGCCAGGAACAGACGCCAGGAGTGGAATATGATGGCATATGACAAAGAGCTTAGACCTGACAACAGGTTGTCTCAAAGTGTGTACCATGGAGCATCTTCCGAGGGATCACTGTCCCCAGATACTAGGTCTGTTTACAGCAAAGCTGTTTGTTATACCACAGTTGTATGTTCAGCAATACTGAGTAGAATTAGGTGTTTTTACAGGATGGGAGTAGTTAGACAAAGCATACAATGCATGTTTAAAACATTCTTTTCAAGTTTATTTTAGACCATAAATGATGTAACAGATTCTGTAACGATTTTTTTCTTCCTCAGCTTCACATGAGCATTTTATCATCATGATATTATGTATTGCAGAGAAAGAAGTGTTTGCTGCATGTTTTATATTTGATCTTCAGTAGCAGTAGTTACAAAGCCTCTAGTAGATAATGTCAGTAGTTCTTCTGTAGTGTCTAGTTTGTTGTTTGGTGCTCTGCTGGTAGCTTAATAAATTTTAAATTTTTCTGTGATCTACTCAGTCGAGAATACTTTTGCCTGCAAAGAATGCTTTGGTGGGAGAAGAATTCAGCTTTTTGATGTTACATTAGTCTAAAAAGCAAGCTACAAAACCAGATAACCAGATGAGATGTTATTGCTTGAAATAACGAAAAACTCTGCTTAGAGATACGCAGAAGAATTCATCTTCATTGACTGAGATTCCCTTTGAGCTTCGTGGGAGTTACCTGATGTGCATTGAAGTCTTAGTTTTTACACTAAGCTGGTCTCAGTAGAGGATTTTCCCACTTATTTTATTTCCTATGTCTGTTGTGATTAAATGCTAGCAATAAATACAAAAATAAACATAGTCCACTGGAAAAAAAGTGTTTAAATTGTTGAATGGCTAGGTCAAGGAGGCAGCAACCACTGTAAGAGTGTGGACTGATACCTTTAGTCTGCTGTCCAGTGGAGATTGATTTAGAAGAAAAAAATCTGCTCAGAACTTTGTAATGTTGTGGTCTTTGTGAAAAGTAATGAAACATATTTGATATTGCTATTGGTCTTTTAATAATATATTCAGACTCCCTCTGTCTAAAAACTGTTGTTTGGTTGGTTTTATTTTACAGTTTTTAATGCAGACCTTTGTCTCCTGTTAGTCTTAATGAAACACTGCAGCCTGGCAACGCTTTGCATAGGTTGATCTAGCAAAAGGTGTGGATTTTTTCATCAGGAGTTGTTTCACACTTTTTGAGTCTTTTTTTTTCAGATTTAACACCTTGCTTCCAGAATTCCTGAGTTAAAATTGTTGTATTGAAGTGATATGTTTTTATCTCCCAGCAATGTCAACATGTATTTGGCTGTCTGCAGATATCTGTGGTATTTGCAATCTGTGGGATTTTTTTTTTAAGCAGAAATTGTAGGATGCATATCTGTGTTGGATTTTGATGTTGCTTGTGTGACAGATATCTTGTGCTTACATAAGCTTTTTATATTTTATAAATGTTGGAGTATTTTACATTTCAGTGAATCAAATATCTGAGATTGAATCCTGAAATGTTTTATCCATGAAGGGTTAATTCTGAGAATGGTACTGTGGTGGAGAAAGGGCTTTCTATTTTTTCACCTTGGAGTAGTCTTAAGCGATTAAAAAACCCATACATCTAGAAATATGTACCAGTTTGAGAGATATTTTCATGCTGCCAGCTACTGCAGGAGCAGTATTTTGTAAATCAGGTCCCAAAGAAGTGTATTTGGTTATACTGTGTTTTTTTTATTACTGCTAAAGCAAAGAAAAAACAAAAAAGGGTCTCTTTTGGTAATTTTAAGACTTGAGCATTAAATGTTGACATCCCAGTGTTTGGACTGTGGCAATTTACAATGTATTTATTATACTTATTGTGCTTTAGAGAGAGAAACACAAGCTGAATCCAAACAGAAACCAGCAAATTAATGTGAGAAAAGTAAGAACAAGAAAAGAAGAGTGGGAGAGAAGGAAAATGGGCATTGAGTTCATGAGTGACGCAAAGAAAATGGAACAGGCAGGAAGCATGAAAGAGGACAAAATGCCCAAAGGGTTTGTTATTTCATTTTGCTCAAAGCCCTGGCTTTTTGTTGCTTACCTTGCTTCCAGGCTCACATATAAGTGCATCAGTTCACTGTGTTCACTAAAAGCCAGGCTGCACCATTGTTCATTACTAAAACAAGTCTTCACAGTAATGGGATGAAAAGATCCTTTTGCTCCCTCTCTTGGGCTTATTTGACAGAGCATCCTAGTCTTTGTATCTTTATGAACTCTCTGCTCAACTAATACTTATATTTCCCAGTTTCTTTAAGCCTTTCCAGCAAAATTAATTGTGCAAACAAAAATAATTTTCTAACTTTTGAAATTGGTTTTGTCTGCATTGGTAAAATATGTTCTTCTGCATAATTGCAAGTGCTTGTAGTATTGCTTTTCTTTTTCTGCTGCCATTGTTAACTTGAGGCAGGCTGGTAAGTATTATCATTTCAAACAATGGACTGTCAAAATCATTGACAAAAACCATAAGCTTCCATATGGCTACTAAAATTCTTGTGCTTTCTGTGGACTTAAAAGGGAGTGGTGTTTGATAAATCGGAGAATCCTCTTGCAAAAAAAATAATGCTGATTGTACTCTTTTTAGCTTCTTTTGTCAGTTATTTAGATAATGCCCTGTTACACTCACATAATCTATTCTTCTGCATCAATTTACTTTAATTTTAGGTCCCATGCATCTGATGTTACAGATTATTCTTATCCTGCTACTCCGAATCATTCCCTCCATCAGCAGATAGCAATGCCTTCCTATGGAGCAGGAGATGGTCCACAGTACATGGCAGCATCCCAAAGCCATGAGCATGAATACAGACCACCCTCCACCACTGTAAGACACGCCACTTTAAACAGACCTCAGCAACCCCCTCCACCTCCACCCCAGCCTTCAGATGGCCAGCACAGCTCAGTACCTGTGGTACCAGCAGAATATGGGTAAATCTGATTTATTCTAGGGGATTCTTGGCAAAACCAGAGGAATGCATGTTTTTCATAACCGTCTTAAAGTGTAATGCATCAAAGACCCCAAATACATTAGTTACCTCCTTGGGGAGGCCATGAGAAAATGGCTATAATTTCTGTGTATGAACTGAATTTAAGTGAGGAAGTAGTGAAAGCAGAAATAACCAAGTTTGTGTTGAATGAAGTGGAAGTATTGGTAAAGTCAATATGATTGTAAAATAGTAAGGGTGCCTAATTGCAATATTGAAGACAACATAATTTTCCTTTAAAGTGGAAAGTAGTTAAAGAATAATTTGGAGAGTATTTTAAACTTCAGGAAGTGTGCAGAAAGAGTATTGTTGATCGTGATTAATCTGGCAGTCTTTGTTGCATCCCTGAAATCCTTTTTAGAGAAGCTTTTGACAGAATTGGAAGGGGTCTCTTCAGACACAAATTCCATACTACCACAGGAGGAATGCCACTTTGTAATTCAAGGCAGAATGTTATCGAATGCCTGTGTAGATATTTTGCCTGAATGCATTCTGAAGGAAGGCTTGCTCCAGAGTTCTGGTTCTCCTGTAGCTAGAAAACATCTGTTTTCTAACGAGTCTGTTCCTTTGTGCAAATAGCTTAAACTTTCAAGTTGTAACCCCAGGAAAGTTGTAGTCATTCTTGCCTGTGTTGTTTTTTTACTATGCAAGCCAAGGTTTGTCATCCTTGCTTGATGCTTCCTGGGATAGCATTTGCCTGATTCATGGCTATCGGGCTGCTATAGATGACTCAGTTGGGAGTGGCTGCTCCAGCCTGCCCTTTCTCTGTTGCTTCCATTGTGTAAGACATCACTGTGCTTATTCCTCAGGTCCATGACCACTGTCAGGGTGTTGCAGTTGTCATACACTGGCATGTGTCACTCAATGTAATCACTCACCTGGCTTCAGCTCCTGTCTCCTGTATCTGGTTCTTTAGCTACTTCATAACTCTTACCAATTCTCATTCTTTTCCTGATTAAGATTTCTTTCAATGACATTTTAACAAGGATATGAGCTCTTCCCTGTGCCTACTATTTAAAGAATCAATCAAATGTATCAATTTAATTAAATGGTATTTAAACTGATAAATTTAACTGAAGAAGCACTTGAGATACATTTACCTTGGGGTAAATCTTTCTTTTCATACTTGCCATTGTCCTCCATGTCTGTGTCCTCTATTACCTCTTGACCTTCTATGGAATTGAAGGGTGTAGTCTGAAGTTTTCTTGGTCCCTTCTTCATCAAAGATTTTGAACTTAACAGTCCCACAGAGTAGATGTTTAATAAGAAATGTAGCTTTATACTTAACTAGGTAGGAGAATTAAGATGAAAAGCTCACTTTGTAGAGTGCTGAAAGGACATTGCCATTAGCTTCAGCATTTGTCTTAAATCTCAGTATATCAGGAATATTTGATAATTCTTACATGTATATTCACTTGCATATTTAAGTCACCAGTTCAAATTGCTTTTGATTTTTGTTTTACCTGAGGTTGGATGAGTGCAGTTTAAGGGGAGATAATTTTCTGAGTCCTCACTTTGAATGTATTAAATGTTTTTGTTCTGTTTTATATAGGATGCTCCCAGCTCAGATGGTGGATTATTACAATCCTACAGGTCCTCCCCCTCCTCCTCCACCCCCTATGATTCCTTCAGCACAAACCGCATTTGTTAGTCCCCTTCAGCTTCCTGTGCCACCTTCCCATTCTGGACTGGTGACTGGCTCTACATACACATCTACTCATCCTCCTCCTTCTGGTGGGCTTGTTGTCACTGCTCCTCCCCCTCCTGGCCCACCTCCTCCCCCTCCAGGCCCTCCTGCTGCAGGTGCATCCCTCTCTTCCTCCCCCATGCACGCTCCTCCGGCCTCGGAGGCGAAGCAGGCACCAATGAGCGATGCTCGGAGCGATCTTCTGGCTGCCATCAGGATGGGTAAGTGCACACTGAGTTTCAGGTATTCCTTTTTTTCAGGGAGAGCAAAGTCTTTTCCACTGAAATGACTTTATGGCTGCTTTTCCCAGCTGGGCGGATTTCATTAACCACAGGTACCAGACCCCTGTTCTGATATTTGTCAGCCATAAGGTTGGATCTAACATTGAAAGATGCACATATTTGTCAAGTGTGTTCTAGTGTTTGTGTAGACATAATCTAATGAACACAGCACTTGTGTTTCTTCTGTTCTGTTTTTTTCTTCTGTTCAGAAGAATTACCCAACACCAGGCTTCAGCCCACTGATTTTTTTTAACCAGTGACTTACGGCTCTACCTGACCTGGCTTACAATATGGAGCTGTATGTCTGATAGTATTCACAAATACAGTTTTGAAAACTTTCATCTTCAGATCAAAATGACCTGTACAGTCTTGAATATTTAGCTTCAGCATATTGTTGACAGTTTTAGAAGTCCAGAAGTATTCAGTGCCTGAGAATTATTTCCCATCTGCCTTTTTTGTCTTTCCCTCCTCCTTGCTCAAGGAGACTCTCTTACCTCAGGTGCTTGCTTTCTTTATTCCCCTCCTTCTTCCTTAGTATTTTGTAAGAATACAACAAAGTCACCAATAACAGTGCCAAATATGAAATCTCTTGCCTGGAAAGCTTTGTCTGAGAGTAATTGTGTCTGCAGGAATTCAGCTGAAGAAGGTGCAGGAGCAGCGTGAGCAGGAGGCAAAGCGCGAGCCCGTTGGCAATGACGTGGCCACCATCCTGTCGAGGCGCATTGCCGTGGAGTACAGTGATTCCGACGACGACTCCGAGTTTGATGAGAACGACTGGTCAGATTGAACGTGGTCCAAGCCTACTGGCAACTACATTAAATACTTGGCTTCAGTGGTTGCTTTGTTAGCAAGATGTAAAGCAGGATGTTGACGTGTATTAAGGCTAGTGAGGGAAGCGCTAAAATTGAATTGGTATTATTCAGAATGCTGTAGCTTAGCAACTCTGGTAATAATGATGTGATTATGCTTATGCAGATCAGAAACTTGTCTTACTTTCAGTATTTACTGCATAATACTTAAGTGCCACTAAGTGTAGCAACTCTTGTGCTGCGTGCAAAATATGCTGCAGTTGTTGCACTGTTACAGAACCAGCATTTTATTTTACTTTCCCGTTCTTGAAGGGATAAAATATATTTTTTTTGACTTTACATCTTACTCTTAATTATTTAAACAACTTAGATATTTGTGAATTGGTCTGGTTGTTAGTCTTTGAGGGCAGCTAACTGTATGGCTGAGTGAAGTGTTGAGTTCCGTTAAACTGACTTTTAGCTTTTTTATTAGGTACTAATTATGCCCACCTTAGTCTATTTTTAACCACTTTTGGGCTTAAGTTTTTATGCATACAGAATTGATTTTCTACTATCTTCCTTTTTATCTTAAAAATGTAGCAGATGATGAAATGTATACTTTGAAGAATGAACCCACATGATCCAAAACCAACATTTGGTGAGCAGACAGGATATGTCTATAACAGTACCAGCTCTAAGTTGCTGGCTCTTTGTTGGGAAGCGTGTTAGGGGATCTCTGCTGGGTAGCAGATGCATGTCTGTGTTATAAATGAAAATGGAAATACCTGTAGAACTTTTCAGTCTTATGATCATAAGATCAACTGGATGCAGGATAGACCTGATGGAAACCGTGTGGGTATTGCAGTGCAGAAATGCTACTGCTGTTACTAAAGATTGGAACTGTCTGGATCTAGCAATCAGATACATTTCACAAGTATTAAACTTGGTCTTTATTCCTGTAGGTATAAACATGTGTGTAAATAAGTTCTGTTGTTGTTGATTTATACATGTGTAGTCATGTAGCACATTGACTCAAAACTCTTACTTTGAATGTATTTCTTTCCCAGTACATCCCATGGGTATAACACGGGCAGTTAAAGCAGTTTTCATGTCTGTGGAGGTACTATGCCATATATATATACACACACTCACTTCCTCGGTCCTTTCCTAGGCATAGTTGTTGCCATAAAGTCTGCTTTGACTGTCTCTGTTTTCCTTGTTTTCCTTTTTTTTTTTTATCAGCAGTACAGTATTAAAATGGTTTGTTCTGTTTTTCTTTTCTGGACCAAGAGTCAGGCTGCTGCTTTGCCTAATGAGGCTTTTAAATTTTATTCATAGCAGGGGAAGAGTTCTTTCCTTACCAGATTACAGTTTTAATCTTTGCAAGAGAAGTCTGTGTAATTCCAGGTCTAACATTTGGTAAAACTCCTTTGTTCTGTGAGGCTCCCCCTCGTTCCTCCTGATCTTAAAAGAAGTATGTAAAATAAAGAGATAAATGGAAGGTGATTATCTAACCTGTGTTTGCACCATTAACAGTTTTAGTCCTGAGAATGTAACAGTCTAACACGATGTTTGCATGCAAACTGTTGGCTACTGCATTGCTGTTTAATCTTCATAAGACTTTTCAATCCATGGTGGCTGCCTTTATGATAGAGGGATAACATGCTGCCTCAGGGCTGGTGTTAAAATTTTTCACACAAAGTATGCCCAATCTCTGCATAGTGGTGAGCAACCACAGCTCTTGGTAACCAGGGGCAGCTGCTGGGACTGGCTGATCTCCGTCCCAGTTGGAGCTGGTTTTGTGTTTGCCTTAAAATGCAGAGCTGAAGTGTGCTTTGTTTTGTGTCCTGGAGTCTGAGGTCTGTGTGTCCACCAGGGAGGACAGAATTTAGGCTGTAGCCTGATGGTGGCTTTCATCACTATGTGGGAGATGGCTTGTCCTGACCATCATGTTGTGCTTGCACAGTGGCCTGCAAAATGATTCTTTGGAGAGGTAGCTGGACGTGCAACTGGGACCTCAGTGTTACATCACTGCATAGTGGTGAGAGCACTCTCAGTGTTCTTTTGATACATGCTGAAAGGAAGTATCTCAGCAGAAAATTCTTCCCAATCTACTGAAATTTGATATGACAGAAGATATATTTTATGAGCACAGAAGTTGGGTGTGTCTGACATTTTGTAATTTGTGCTTATTTTAAATAATAAGCATTAAACAAGAAATCAGTTGTGACCGGTGAAGATAGTGTAAATTTTTCAGTCATAGTAGCCAAACTGTTTTTCTGAACCTGCAATGTTGTCATTTTCCTTTTGGTATTTTATGGACGAAATGTGAATTGAAATTAGTGATGTAAACACTATTCTAGGCTGTTTTTATCAGTTTTATCATACTTCGGGTTGTGCATAAGTAACAAATACGAATAAAATCTCACTTTTGAGCCTGTGTTTCTGTCCTTAGATTAGTAAGATTTTGCTGTTAATCTTTATTTTAACTTACCAATAACAGAAGTGAAAATTTAAGGCTTCCAAATGCAATCTCTAATCCCAGGGCATGGTGTTCCTGGGATCAAGGTTGGAGTCTGCAAAACCAGATTCCCTTGAGGTACTGCTGCTCCTGTGCTAACATCCATACTTGGTTATTTTGCAGCCTTGATTCAAGCTCCAAGTTCCTGGCTGGTCTAAGCAGGTATGAATTTCCCTACAGATAGCTTTAGGGTTTTGGTTTTGTTCCCCAGTGAAATGCATTAAATGGCAGCTTTGCTTCCAGAAAGAACAAGGCAGAAAATACAATTACATCAGCAAATGTTCTTGCCCGCTTTTTTTAATAAGCAGTCATCTTTGCAGGTTACTGACACTCAGCACAATACTGTAAAATACAAACCCATGTACTTTAAATGTAATCTTTTAATTGTAATCAGATTAAAGCCAGGAGAGGCTTTTCATCCTACTTAGAACTTATATAAACCAATTGTGTAATATAGTAGCTTAATTGTAAACTAAACAGATTTGTTTATGCATCTTAGACTCTATTGTTTCTTGGGAAAAGAAATTAATCTTTATTCTGTTCAGCTGAAAACCGTAGTCCCTCTGATGCTCAGTTCTTACTTCTCTCAGATTTCCCACTTCTTGATTTGAACTTAATTCAAATAATTTAGAGCACAATTCTTAGACACCAATTCTACATAGAAGCTGAATATGCAAGCTTGATTTTTTTTTTTGGTTCAAAGGTTCTCTTAATAAAGCATTTATAACTGCTTGTTGTAGCTTGGTTGGAGTTAGGACTGATGGTCACTCAGCATGCTGCTTCTACAGCATTTGTGGTTGTCCTTTGAATTTTCAAGAATTTCCACAGAACTGAAATTAATTGGATTTTTGGGTATTTGAGATTTCTCTTACCAAGATGAATGGAGAAGAAAAACACCTTTATTGTAAGAGGGGGTGCATGGTGTTTTATTGTAGGTGTATGGTGTTGAGAACAAGCTCCAAACTGAGCTCATTTGCAGTAGGCAGATGGAGTTGGGAGGAAGGAAAATGTCTCTTTGGGAAATTGGTTCTTGATGTATTTTTCAACTATGTTCTCTCTCCTGTGCTGGGCACTGTTTTAATAATGAAGAGGTTCTTTTCCCCTTGAAAAAACATACCTCAGGGTACATCAAAGATGTCATTTCTAAAAATGTTTAAAATCTCACTGTAAACTGATCTGAGTGTAAGCCTGATAATAATGAAGACTTCATCAGCATCTTCTGGCTGGAAGCTGAAGTTGTACAAATTAAATTTTGAGCTGAGGTATTAGTTCCTAGTCAAGAATTAAAATAAATATTAGAACAGCTTATCCAGAGATGGCTTTCTACAGTGAATTTTCTTTAAGGTGATATTATACATTTTTTCTTTCTGAAAAAGCAAACAGAAATTCAACCTGCTCTAATATGCTTTGGGGAAAAGTGCTTGCCCTGTGTGGATTTTTACTTCTGAGTCTCAAATGTTCCTGGTAAGAGTGAGTCCATGCATACATGAACTCAAGTCCAAGGATTTTTAGCGTATTGAGGCAGATCTGCATTCAGGCACTAAAATGCTGAGGGTGGTATATAGGGAACAAAAATAAATTATGATCCCTGCTAGAATCCCTCAGGCCCTGGTGTGTGCCGCAGAACAGTCAGGAGAGACTTGAGGTTATCACTGAACACCCCTCCCAATTTCATTGGATTTTAAAGGAAGTGTGGCTACTCCAGAAGGGACTGTGGGTTCCCAGCTGACCATCTTTTGCTAAAAAGAAAACAAGAACATTGAGAAAAAGAAGTCCTTTAGGTACGAAACAGGGAGGAGGAATTTCATATCTTGCTTTCTCTACTAACAGGCAAAGAATCTCTTTTCATGTGCTGTCAAGTTTCCGTAGGTTTCTCTGGAGAAATGTGTTCTCATCTGTGGGTGACATAGAAATGCACTCCCACAAGTGGAATGCACCTTCAGGTTTGTGCTGGGCTGGGCTTTTCAGCTACATAAGAAGACAAGTTGCCCCTAAGATTCTTAGCTAAATATAGTAGTCTCTTGGAGATTATTCTTACTGCTGCAGATAGAGAACTTCTTAACTGATTAGCCAGAGCAGGGTGGAGTTCTGTGCTTTTCTCTTGTCAGGGGGTTATGTGCAGAGTGATTTGGAGATTAGAGCTGAGGGCAACTGCTTTGAGATGTCTCAGCAGCTTGTTTTAAGCATGTTGCCTTTCTGAGTCACTCGGCATTTCAATCCTCTGTGCTGTCACACCACGTGAAAACTGCTCTGTTCAGCAGTCACTCATTGCCAGTCAAGTGTAGGGTAGAGGAGGGAAGAGAGGCCTGGGAATCTGCTTGAGTTACCCTAATGCCAGTTACTACTGGACAGCGTGTCCTCTCTGCCTGGGGCAGCAACTCTAAACAGAAATCCTGCCAACCACACTGAAGGGGGTGGCAGAACTTATCTCTTCTGTTGCTGGAAATCAGGTGCTCTCTTGGTATCTGCCAGTGCTGACAAATTTTTTAGTCAAGTTTTCCTGAGTCATCCTGCTGTTAATGTTTGATTTCACTAGTGAGTTTAACTTTCTAGTCCTTTGCCAGTCACCTTCCTACTTTCTGAATGGCCCATGCCCACTGCCTGTCACCCTTCACAAACTGGATGCCGTCACCAGCTGTGGTGGCAGTGCCCTTGCTCTCCTGAACTCCACGTCCCAGCACGGGCTGTCACCCACAGCCTGTCCCTCTACCTCCTCCTCTCGCGAGTCTCCTCCTCCTGGTTTTCAGCAGATGTTTTGCATGTTACCAGCCAAGGATATTCCCTGTTTCAGCAGGACCTATGGTTTGGTTGGTTGGCCATGGGGATCCCTTGGGTGGGTCCTTGTTCTGTGAGCATGCTGGTACCAGTGGGTGTTAAAAGGGGTGCTGCTTCAGGGCACAGGGCTTTTCCTCTCCATGGAGGAGGGTGATGGTAGTAGAATTATTTACCATAGAGTCACACTTCATCACTAAGCTAAGCCTTTTTGAAGTTGCTGCTTATCCCAACCATGTGAGCCCTCACCTTTGCCTCACCGGAGATACTCTTTCACATTTGTTTGTATTAATTTTCTCTGTTCTGGTTTTTGGGTGTTTTCAGCAATACCTGCAGCGGTTTGTTTTTCTGTTCTATTTGTGTTTCCTCCCAAATTTAGTATGCTTCCTAAAACTCTTCTTAGGTTGGCTTCGCACAGCTGGTTACACTGCTTATAGTTGCCATTATGTTGCAATCATTACTTCTGTCTTTGAGGAAGAAGGATTTTTGTTTGCTTCATACTCTCAGAATGACAACCAAAGTAATGTTTTCAGGGATGGCTGTTAAAGTTTTCCCATAAATTTATGTCTATCTAATTTGTATGCATGGCACATTTTGCTGTAACAAAGGTTTAGAAGTTTTGCTTACAGCAGATGGTAAACTGTTGCTATGAAGAAGTTTTGTATAGGCTCATCAGAATATTTAATCTGACTCTGTCGAGACTGTTAAGGTGTATAAGGTGTGCAGTGCTGTGATGCAATCTTGATTTGTTATAAATGTCTGCAGTTCCTTGGGGCATTTGGGGTTTACCTTAAAATACCTGGATCCTGCTGGCTCACTGCTCCTCCCAGTACCAGTCACTGATTTGCCATAAGTGATGCAAAGCACCAATGTGAAATTTCACAAATGTTTTAAGAAAGATAATCAAGGTTGCTGCCTTGCACCCAACTGACTGCCATCAGCCAAGTGCTTACCTGAAAGAGTATCCTGTTTTTGATCATCCCCTGTACTCTCTTCAAAACCCCCACTGACTGTCATGATGACCCATGCTTTTAAAATTTTTTAAGAGCCATCTTTATTCTGTAAGTTGACATGGTCTGTTTAGAAAACTGAATTTAGGTCTACCACAGGCTTTTAAGTAAAGGATGCACCATCCCTCTCTTGGGGTACCACTCCTGCCCTGTATTATTTGCTAGGTTTCAAGAATTTATGTGAATAATTTATATGGCTTGATGGATTTACTTTGTACTTTGCTGAAAGAGATAATAAATCCTTACTTTAGGGATTTTCAAACCTAGTTAAAATACACCAAATGGTGAGGCAGCTGCTAACAGCTAGAAATATTTGAGAGGAGATGTGGGAGTTGTCTCATTGTGTAACATTGCTGCTTATTTACTGTTTTAGCCAAGTAAAAGCATTTAAGCACGGTTGCCTCACTTACATGGGGAGACTAACAGCACAGATCTGTGGCATTCTTCTGTCTCTTAAATGGGAGGTAGAAAATAAAGATTTTTTATGGCATAGATGAGGAAGAAGAGAAAGGTCTGGATTTTTCGTCTGTTCTAAACAGTAGGAGAAAGTGCTTTGGTGAAATTGATGATACTTCTCTGTTTTACCTCCATACAGAAGCCTCCAAATGGTGAGGCTTCATTTTAACCTTTTTCCTGAAGATCACCTTCCCTATTTTATTCTCTTCACCTTATCAGCTGCAGTATGCAATGACCTTTCTCTTCGATTCAGCCATCTGCCTGCTTCAGCTTTTATTTCCTTCACTGATCAGATGAGACATGAGGGTACAAATGGCACTGGCAGCGCTGCCGGCCTTGATACCTGATTAGGATAAAGAGACTTAAGGTGACATTTTAAATAGTAAATAGGTCTTTTTTAAAATTCATGACTACAAAAATGGCTAAAGGAGTCTAGTGAACTGGTAATGTGTTCTGCTCAGAAAGTGAAATATACTATACTTGGGTGGCAGGATATATAAAAAGCATGTGTGGATAAAGCACACCTCCAAAGTGCTGTTCTGTTTTAAGGCTTCCAGATGTGAACTTTGCACAATTGCTGTAATTACCAGCCTGCTGCAGGTATTGCCTTTCTCTGGGTTTGGGCAGCAGCCATTTTTTCTCACCCAACTGCTTGAATGCTAACAGGGG